TTTTCAACGACTAGGCGTGGATTTTTAAAGAATATTTTTTCAACGACTAGGCGTGGATTTTTAAAGAATATTTTTTCAACGACTAGGCGTGGATTTTTAAAGAATATTTTTTCAACGACTAGGCGTGGATTTTTAAAGAATATTTTTTCAACGACTAGGCGTGGATTTTTAAAGAATATTTTTTCAACGACTAGGCGTGGATTTTAAAGAATATTTTTTCAACGACTAGGCGTGGATTTTTAAAGAATATTTTTTCAACGACTAGGCGTGGATTTTTAAAGAATATTTTTCAACGACTATCAGAGTTATAGGCGTGTTGAAATCTCTGTTGAAATGGTTGGCCACATTTCCATTAATTGTGGCAATGTATGCTTACAATAATACTACACACATATAACTCTAAGAATACACACACAAACTTTCGCGCATGGAAAACCGAAACAAAATTCAATTTCCAATTATTGTATAAATCATTGATCCCAATTTCAATTCATTTAGAAATACGATCGCGAATTCTTTCACATTCGGGGACAAAGAATTCACAATACAGCAGAGAAGATTTAAATGTGATCGTCTTCTTTTTTATATATAAATAAAATTTTTAACCATTGAAATTAATGTCAAATTTCACTTTTTTTGGCTTTACATTTTAAAATTGCTTGCAGTGTATTTGATTTTACTCGAATCGAATACAAATCTTTTGTCCGATATATTGTACTAATACAATCTATTGACAAGGAAAAACCACAAATTTGTATGTGCATTGTTTGAAACATCTATAGAAAAAATATTGAAAGTCCTAAGACTAATACAATGTGTGACTGCACAGTGGGATTTTATTCTATTTTGTTATATCTTAATCCATAAAATATAATGCAATCCTATTATGGTAAAGAAAATATTATACGTAAATGTGGAATAAAACCCACTGCCCTCTATGTCTGACACCGAAGTCGGATATTAGCCATACTAATAGTTCTACTTCACAGCCTTGGTAGTACGTTGTTGGTTTCGAAAAATCTTTAATTATCCATATCCATTGTGAAGTTTTTTTGGTACACTGAAGATGAAGTACATGTATGAGCATCAATAAATATACATCTTTGCTTTCCTACTAACATAGACCTTAAAGCATATATTGTTTTATCTATTCCAATGTTTAATATGTCTACTAAAAATGTGCGGTTCGCACTTTTTAGTTAAAAACAAGCGTAAGATATGTTTTTGTATGGACGGTGCATTTCTAATTTCTATACGTATAAAATTAAATGGATCGGTACTGACAAATGTTCTATTGAAAAATAAAAAACATTCGGCAGTTCGCATTTTAAAACCTACCATACCTGGGCATTCCAGCATATCAAGTTCAAAAATTATCTATCCCTGATTTAGATCATTGTAAATTGTTTTTCCCTTGAAAACCACCTAAAAACTTCAAAAGAGGGCGGATCTTTTGCATAAAGCCATGTCGAAATATGACATTATAATCAAAACTTTCTATGAAGAACCTTTTAATCACCAAGAATGCCAAATTACAGCCACTTCAGTTGGAAAATGCACATAGTACCATCACCAAAATACATAATTTGTAACAGTCCTTTTCATTCGAAATATGTCAAAACATGGACTTATAGTGAATATTATCAGCCCCTTTTTTGAACCTATATCATAAATTGACTTATAAAAAATTATAATACTGCTGGTCCTTTGCATGGGGGCAAAGTTTATAGACATTCTATGCGATCAAAGCAATGCCGAAGAACTTTTTCCAATTCCATTTAGAAACCTTCATATATGAGTTTTGAATCCTTCATCAGCATTTTTAGGAGATGAAAATCCCTCAAACCTCATTTTTGATGATATGCGGAAATAGAACCCTGGCTGAAAAGCAGCGATTGGTTGCGAATTCGAGATTCTACGGCCCATCAATTCACTGTTTTAATCGGTTCGAGCAGATGTGTGAGTGCTCACATTGTCGTGTTTCGTCTTCTCTTCCTCGTTTTTCAAATTCTTCTACAGACTTTTAATTTTATTTAAATATTTCAGACGAATCAGATAGTTTTTATACTCTACACAACTATGTTGTAGATCCATCTTTTAATATGTCGATAGTCATATCTCGACTAGCTGAGTCGATCTAGACTTTTCATGACAATCGGTCAATATTTAGCGGGTTAAATCGACCCAGGCTTTTGTGTAACCAATTACAAAATGTTTATTCTATGATGTATATATTTATTCCTGAAGGTCATATACCCGAGAAGTGGATGCCCTTTAAATAGATACCCATTATATTGTTTTATATATTGGGATAGGTGAGTTATAAGTAAATATTTTATGAGGTCTGCGTATTCTAGTATTGTTTAGTATTACCATTACCGCATTACGGGGCGAAAATGTAGCGCTGAATGCTAGGAAATTTGGACGAGGTTGCAGTTATGGTCGAGGACGACGCCAATAATTTTCGAATATGATGTGATGATATTTCTGGGATAAAATGGCCCGAAAAATAAATTTTTGTCTTCCAGTCGCTCTAGTCTCCACAATTTTAAAGTGAACATCACAAATTTTCCATGAGGAAGGCGATCTGACGCACAAATTCGAATGGCGCGCTTGTGTTTCAGATGACCTTTTTTTATTTTGTAAAATAACAAAATGTTTATGTTCAACAGTAATTTTTTACTCAGGGAAAACATAATTCGGAAAATATCCCGCAAAGGAGCTGTTGACTTCTAATCGTCCAAGAGAGTGCAGATGTCGGGAAATATTTATAATGACTATAGTCCAATGTCGGTATTTTTGAGTTTGTAACTGAATTTCCCCACTGTCAGGGCTATAATTTGACATTCTGGATCCTTGGAAGATGAAAAATCTCTCTACTATAAGAGATTCCGCAAAATGTTCGCCCCAAAGTAGCTGTAATTTAGCATTACAGTCTCATGGAGGCTAAAAACATATTTGCAGAAAATTTAATTTATATTTTCAAATTTTGACATAGTCTACAAATAAAGGTGCCACCATATTTTCGGTATATTTTAGGTTTCAGCCGCATGTTCCCAGCGATGTGACAGTAATTTGGCTCTCTGGGTTCTTGGAGGGCAAAAAACATATTTGCTGAACATTTTCCATATAGGTCCAAAGAAAGAGAGTTGGAAAAAAGTATCACAAGATAGAAAATATAAATTCTATGTTCTTAGTGAAGCCTATTAGTTTCATTCCAACGCCCGTTCGTGAATAGTGTCATTTCCTACAAATGATGAATAGTGGCATAGGAAATGTTGCAACAAATCGCTAGCCCTGACCTCATTTCTAGACGCGTTGCTCTAAAAGTTTTGTTGATGTTGTCCGCATTTTTACACAGAGAGTTAGAATTTTTTTTGGGATTATGAATCAAACGGGTTCAAATTCTTTATGGTCGTTAAGATACTGTTTATAACGGAGACCCATACGAGTGGTGGCAGAATCCCTCCCTGAGGGATTCCTTGTTCCTCATGGTTATTTTGCAGCTAAAGTATTTTCTTGTCGAAGGTGCCCTTGTTGTGGTGAACTGTACAGCGGTTTCCACTAACCTCCCCTTTATATACGCATGTTATCTATATGTTAGCGTATCAATGGATTTTTTTTTTTTTGATATTTATCATGATATTTGATATTTATCGAGTGTCCGTTCTTTGGTTTTGAGTAGAAATGAGGTTAAGCTTATTGGCCGGTAATATTTTGGCGTTGCTTTATTTGCCTTGCCGGGCATGGGAAGAAAGGCAACCAGGGCTTCCTGCCAGGCTCTCGGAGTGTAGGCAAGTGTTAAAGAGTACTGCTAAGCATGGTGATAAACAGTCCGCCTCTTTTTATAATAAAGCAAGGAAGACATTGTCTGGATCCACCGTTTTGAATGGAGGAAACTTTGTACAACGTAATATTTTTACCGTACTTAGATTATGTCTGTACATGGGACCATTCGATCCACTAATTCTAGTACCTCCGCCACAAATTCTAAATATTTTTCTAGAAATTCATTTTGTGATATGATGCGAATGGACTATCCGATTTGAATAAAACTTTGCACAATGTAATATTTTAACGACTGTGTAATGCTGAAAGATGGGACTTATCACTTAAGTCCTTGTAGTACCTCCCATTTTGAAAACTTTTAAACCCCATATGGAGCGAACGGAATATCAAATTTCATCCAATATTTATACATGGTAATGTATTTACCTTCCATATATCAAGCTTTAAAATGGTATCCGTTGGTCAACTCCTTCTGGTACCTTCCAAACCTACATTAAATCCTAAGATGGGCTCTATATGCAACCTCCTCCGGTACCTCCCCAAAGATGCCGAATAATAAAATCCGTATTCTACTACCTAGACCTCCGCAAACCATAGGCAGCGAGTATATATCTGTCGGCAACACCGACTGAACATTTTTTACTTGTATTATATTTCTGTATCAGATTATTTTTTTTACAATTTTATGCCCATTGTATCTGCTAGATTACCGTTTATTAAATTTTGTCTGCAGTTCAAAAGGTTATGTGTGTGTGTATAACCGCAAAGTTCGTTTGGTGTCTGTATGTGGTAAAATGACAATAAATGATTTGGTAGTCAATATTCATTGAAAGGCTACCTGTTTTTATTATTGCATACAATATGCAAAAATTAATCTATACGATATTTATAAATTTCATTAGAAACAATTTACTTTTTGGCATACATTTAAATTGAAACATAAATGGAACTTAAAACTTAACATATATTTTCAATGCATAGATTCTGAATTATTTTCTAATTAAGTATTTGTTAAAAATTTAAATAACGACAAAAACTATTGCTGCAATTTATATTTACTAAGCAATAACAGTTAATAATAATTATAAATAATTTATATATCCTATTTAATATTTTAGTTTGTATATATATGTATATATCAAGAATTAATGATATTTTATAATTTGCCTATGCTTCTACATTTTGTTGTTGTTATTGTTGTGTCATTACAGTTCATCCCGTTATACAAGTACCAAATCAATTAGTCGGTGCACCACTTGGCACTGATGTTCAAATTGAATGTCACGTAGAGGCATACCCCAAATCAATTAACTACTGGATTAAGGACACGGGTAAGTCTATATATGCATGGCTAACAAAGAACAAACTAAGCCAAATACACACACACATTCAAACATTAACTCACACTGACAAAAATGTATATGTATGTACGAATGTATGTAATATATGGAACATCAAATGATGTTCCCCTTACCCCCACACCACCACTCACATAACATTCCGCACAGATTTTCTACGGCTGCTGTAACGACCAGCGGCCTTACACTCTCGACATTATTAATGTACTGTGTTTGGACTGGTATTCTGTTCGGTATAGGTACGTGAGTCCTTGTCTGGTCATCACAATAAATGGCTGGGTGTATGTAGGTGTGTGTGTGTCTTGCATGTTTTAATATTTGTGCTAGAGTGTAGGGTGTAAATCAACATTAAACCACTGACTGCATTCTATTCACCATTGCCCGCCTCCATTTTAGTTTAACATTTTATAGACATTTACAACATAAGGTGCAACATCGAAACATGAATCAACATTAAATTTAGTTTTGCATTTCATCATCATCATTCTTACTTTTTTTTTGCGTTTCGTTTAAGGTATCATTTTTCATTTTCATTCAGATTTTTGGAAGAAGAAAATTGTAATATTTGCAGCCAATTTGATAAACAATTGACCAATTTATTGATGACTATTTAAACTAAGCTAGCAGTTGTATCTGACATACATGGTCAGTAAAGATTAATGAATATTAATTTTGGAAAAAAAAATCCAATTTTTTGCGATTTAATCGGAATTGGTTTTGTCTAGTGTTTTAATGTATTGATTCCAAAAAAAGTCTATAGTTGGAATTACTTTGATATGGCTCTAATTTGCGGTATTCTGAAGATTTTAGCCGGATTTGATTTAGCATTTTGAGTTCTTAGAGAGCATGGATCGCTGGTCGGTTTGTTAACGTGTGGCTCCGCAAAAAATACAATACTCCAAACGATGTGTATAAGATCATCACAGGTGACGAAACAAGGATCTATTCATATGAGCCTGAAACAATACAACAATAAGTCATGTGGGTCTTCGAAGACTTTCTTATTATGACCTTCATGAAGAAAAAAATACATCGTTAATTATTTTCGTCACCATAAAATGTTCCTTATGTGTTGAAAAATCATATTTTTCTTTTTTAATCTGAGGGGAAACCCCAATTTACGATTCTAAATATTGAAAATTTTTTATAAGGCCTGAACACAAATTTATGAAGGCTTGTATCGTATTTGTATGTAACATTTGCAAACACTGGGGAGACCTACAGTTATGTTTGAGAATATATTTTCCCGTCTATCCCCTGTCCATGTAATTTCATAAAAAAACACAGGTCGCATTTATTATATAATTGATATTTAATTTGCCATAGCTTATTCCTTTGGTCCAGGTGCTAAGTCTACAGGATGGACAAACATTAGCATCAGTAACTGAATTTAGTCTAGAATCGAGTTTGCAATTCAATGGGGATTGATATAGAAATTTGTCTATAAATATGCATTTCCCCGCTCTCCAAGAATCCCCATTGGTAATTTACAGCAATTTCAGTGGAAAATTCGGCTAAAACCTTAAAAATCCCGCGACCTTTATATGGAGGCGCTATGTTAATACAGAATCTCATTTTGATAAGTAAAAAATGTGTCATTCGGTTTTTCCGACAGATATGGTGGTTTTGTTGTATTAAATGCATATGTTTATTATCAAAGAGTTGATCATCCGTAGAGTGATACCAGAAGAGATTGCCCAATAGATCCATTTAAATTAACAGGTTTTCCAAATGTTGACCCTTTGTGGGGGGAGGTACCAGAAGTAGTATTGCAAATATATTACGATGTGCAAAATTTCGATAAACTTGGATATTCCGTTGGCTACATATGCGAGTTACAAATGTTGAAAATGTTTAGCCTTTAGGGGTACTAGAAGGAGTGGTCAGATAAATGTCATGTTACAATACAGGTATGTTTAAAAATGTTGACCATTTTGTTTAAAAAAGTGGAACTAGAAAAATAAGTTTACAAAAAAATTTTGTTATTGTTTTGACATTGTTGATTGTTATTGATTAAGAAAACTCTTCAAAAATTTTTTGATGGCGGGCATGATAACTCCTACCGGATCATCGGAATGGACCGAAAATTCCAACGGTGTTCGAAATACGACAATTTGCAGAGTTTGGGTCAAGTCCGCCAGATGGACGGATTTGGACCAAAGATACACGAGGACTAACACAAATAAAACCAAATGAAGCCTGTTTTTGCAGAGTGTATATACCCTCACTAGCATATTCAAAACTAAAACAAATTTCATGATTCGAGCTTTATAGGTTCAGCCAAATCTTCATTTTCAAATTTTGGTACCATTTAGTACACATTAAAATCAATCCAATAGAAATCATGATTCCAGCCCGATTGTTTCATATAATATAATTGTACCAAATTTAGTGTCATTTAAAACACATTAGTATGAATTTTCAAACCTGGATTCATACCCCAATCCTACACCCCAACAGTAACCTTATTTCCAATTTTCAGTGTTCCAGCTCTATCGGTTCACCAAAATACACATTTGGTACCATTTAGTACAAACTTCCAAAACTCTATATATTCCAATTCTACACATATTCCCCCAAAATTTATGTTGTACCAAATTTAGTACACATTAGTACGAATTTCCAAAACTTCCTACATAGCTTAATTCTACGCCCCAATAGTGATAATAACTTCAAATCCAAATTTGGTACCATTTAGTACATATTAGTATAAATTTCGAAAACTTCCTACATATCGCAATCCTATACGCCAACAGTGATCCTGACCAGGTTCACCCAAATTCAAATTTGGTACCATTTAGTAAACATTAGTACGAATTTCCCACACTCCAACAATGATCCTAACTCCAAATTTCAGGATACCAGCTTTCAAAACCCCCTCCTTATATCGACTCTACATTTCAATCATATTTCGCATTCCAAATTTCGGTTCTATCCATTTTTGGCTCTATCCATTTAGTACTTTTCGTGCCATTATAGAACGAAGCGTATAAAAATTTCGGTGGAAAAGTACTGCTAAAACCTTGTGTATCAATATATATAGTTTTTCACAAATCTTAGTTTTAACCTCCAATGTCTACAAATTATTTTCTGCGAAGAGAAAATGCGAATAAACCTTCAAACGTAATTGGTAATTTTTGGAGGAAGATTTAACACCCCACCAACACTTAAAAATAATGGGGCTACCCGGAAACGGGGGCCAATATTAATAATTTTTGGTGGTGAGATTTCCTATATATTTTTCTTTTTTTAATGGAGCTCTTGGGCTGGGTGGGGAATTGCTTTCAACCCCATAGCGAATTTTCAACCTCTCTCAAAAGTAAAGTGGACCAAAAAATATTAACCAAAAACTACCCACACGTAAATTGTTTTGGAAACAAGACAATATAATTGCTACAACCAATTCATATCTTCTCTTTATCCCTAATAATTTCCCAATTATTTGGACATTCATTCACTACCATCCACAGACACACACACACTCTGATGACACTTAACACAAATCAAATTAACTAAAATAACAATTATGATTATGCCAATCATCATCGTATTTAGCCATGTACACTAAGTGAACAACAATAATCGGCACCCTCCCTCATCTTCTTCAATACTGGACTTGTTAGGAGTGAAATCAACACGTACGGATTTACGTTGAAAGCAGTCATACACACACATACACTCACACGCACTCACCGCACAAATTCGAATAAATTCTGGCACTTTATAAACAATAAGAATGAAACCACTCCAACATGTGAACAATCAACACACACACCCATACATTTACAGAACAAATCGCCCCCAAGAGACAAGGCGATGAAAGTAAGCTTGTAATCATAGACTTGGAAATCCACACATACACACATATTCAGACACCCACAAACTTACAAATATCCACACATTAAAATCTAAGCAGAATCTCCCACAATTCCACTATTATGTTTTGTACAACACATCTACTTACATGACGATAACAAGTACTCAGCCAATTGTAGTTGGATGTACACAAGCATGGGGAGCGGATGGAGTGAGAAGGCCGCCGTCGTCACATGTGTCCTTAGTTGTATAAATACGCATTTTATGCGATTGTTATGACTAGTGACGGCACTTTTATAACAGTTACTATTGTTGTGGAGTTAACTTTGAATGGAAACAATCATAAAAGTAGCAAAATTATAACAAAATAAACAACATCAACAAACACCCCTTCCTTCTTTTTTGTTGTAAAGTGTCGGCACACTTAGGAGAATGTTGTAGATGGATTAGAAATAGAAATGGTAAAATTATTGCAGATTGTGATGTTGGGGTGGCGTGGAAAAAATTTGAATTAATACAAGATATTTCAAAACACATATAAAAATAGAAGGAGAAAATGCCTTTTTAACATATTAACATATTATAATTTATCGAATTTCTGATGCACGTAAATTAGGTCAAGGACATCGGAGATATTATCAAAATTAAATGAATTTATAAAAAAATCGAATGTCTACTTCAAAGTTAACAGAAGTGCAACATAACCTTCTTATTTTCCAATATTTTAAACACGTTTCCGAATTTAAGCCAGTAAGGAAAGATAATAAAGTCGGACTGGGCTGAATATAAGATACCGTTCACCACTTTGGGTATGTTCTACATATGTATCCTTCGAGGGAACATTGACATGAAATTGAACGAATTTAAACAAGTGATCTTTATCTATAAGTCGTCCGACTAACATCAGTCCATACACATGATATTCTGCAACCTATTCTAAATTTCATTTCATTCGGGCAGATCTGGAGTCGTTTGCGTACAATTGGAAAAATTTATGTAAATCGATTTATAGCAAGCTATTCGGTATGCCGCACTATTCAAAATTTAATCTCAACCAGATACTCGTTCGAAATATATATGGATGCTATGTCTGCATCTGCACCAATTTGAACAAAACACAATATAGTCACAGTAGTGTCAATTTGCTAAGTTATGCA